TTTCCACAGCTTGAACTTATCAAAAACTTCAGATTTCTGTTTCAAAAAATACACCCAAACTTTCCGTGAAAAATCATCAATAAAAGTAACATAGTACCTAGATCCACCCAAAGACAATGTCGTGGAAGGCCCCCATACATCAGAATGCACATAATCAAGAATCCCTTGAGTTGTGTGCTTCGCAGTCTTAAAACGGACTTTAGTCTATTTACCAAGAACACAATACTTGCAAAAATCGAGCTTACAGCTTTTGACACCATGCAACAAGTTTCTCTTGTGTAATTCTGCCATACCACGTTCACTAAGATGAGCAAGGCGCATATGCCACAATTTTGTCGTATCATCACAGGACTCAACAGAGTGAACTCCACCTGCAACGGTACTCCCTAACAATTTGTAGATATTCCCTGCAGTCATCTTGCCTTTCATCACAGTCAATGCTCCTTTAACAATCCGAATGATTTCCCTATCCTCGTCAGCCTTAGGGATAAAACCATTCTTGTGCAAAGTGTCCAAGGAAATCAAATTCTTCTTCAAGTCTGGGATATGTCGAACACCACTCAACGTCCGAACGGAGCCATCGTGCATCTTAATTCTGACATCACCAATACCAACAATATTGCAACATCGATCATCACCCAAATAAACCAAACCATAATTAACCGGCCTGTATGTCGAAAACCATTCCCTATTTGGCATGATGTGATAAGAACATCCAGAATCAATAATCCAAGCATCCGTCAATTGTGTCGTTGAAATAGAAAGCATATCACCCTCACTGCAATCAGAATTATCATCCTCGACCACGTTCACAGACTTGGATGAGCCATCACGCTTCTCATCAGTCTGCCTTTTCAACTTCGGACAGTCTCGCTTCATATGTCCCGCCTCCTTGCACTTGTAACAGTGAATCGTCTTCTTATCCCTGGATTTGGATCTGGAATTCCGCTTCCCGGACCCTGCCTTCTCTGGCTTCCGTCCACGATCTCGATTACCCTTGATAAATAAGCTATCAACTTGAGATCTTTCCCCTGCATTCTGCTTCCGCTGGTTGTGAGCCAACAAGGCTGCAGTAATCTCCTCAACGTTGATAGTCTCTTTCCCATATGTAAGAGTAGTCACCATGTGTTCGTAAGAGGGAGGCAACGAACACAACAGAATCATCGCTCTGTCTTCATCCCCAATTTTCACATCAAGCCGAGTCAGATCAGAAACGATTTGATTGAAGACATTCACGTGTTGCGCCAAATCGTGATCGTCATGCATCTTCAGCCCATACAGCCGCTGCTTCAGATACAATTTTGTCGTTAAGGATTTGGACATAAACTGACTTTCCAACTTCCTCCAAATTTCGCCTGGAGACGATAGATGCATGACGTGATACATGACCTCGTCCGCCAAGCATAATCGTATGGTTCCTGCCGCTCACTGCTGCAATTCTTCCCAATCTTCCTCATCCATCGACGCCGGCTTTGTAGGTCGCAAAGCCTTCAAGATCCCTTGCTGCGCCAATAGATCCTTCACCCTCGTTTTCCATAATCCGAAGTTACCCTGACCATCGAATTTCGCAACTTCGAATTTTTCTCCTAACATTTGATACCAATTGTTGACGAAAACGGGTAAAGAAAACAAAAGAACACAAGAATTTTACGAGGTTCGACAATGTGTTTACGTCCTCGGTGCCTAGGCGGCGCTAGAAGTTTTTTTTCAATGATATTTTAGGTCTAGGTTACATCCCTATTTATAATAGAAAACCCTGGTACATAATTACAAAATCAACCCTGTACCGTACCGCGGGGCCGCAGCCCCCGCACCCCCAACCCACATAATTCGTAGCCCCACAACGAGACTTTTTATGAGCCATACATAACAATCCGAAAGGTGAAAAAGTTACAAAAAACTTTTGAAAATTATGAAATTATGACCGAAAAGATTTACAAGAGCTTGATTTAGGTAGGCCAGATGATTCACGTTGGGAGTCTTTTTATAAGTTAATTTTGAATGTGATTAATTTATATTTTACAATATGTGAGTGCTTCATTTGATTGGTGATGATGCTTGAAAGTTGATAATGTGAGTTTTACAATAGAATCATTTTATTTTATTTTCATTATTCACTTGATGAAGAGATATTTGGGATTATGAATGAATTAAACAAAGTTTTGTAGAGAAAAGAGTAAGATTGTCAATGTTATGTTTCTTGTCACTTCAACTAAAGAAAGATTTTAAAACATAGAGAGAAACGAATAGGAGTCTTCTTTATTACAGACACTTCATTTTGTAACAAGGATGATATTGATATTTTTTATATGAATGTTGTGTCTAGGGACAGACACAGGACCTGAATTCGACGAATTTTGATCTAATCTGACTTTATTGGATCATATTTTTAAAAACAAATCTAATTCAGGTCACGTTGGGTCAAACTTTTAGAAGGTAAGTTTGGGTCAGATCGGATTTGGATTTATGATGAAAAATACTCGACCCAATCCGATAAATAAATGATGTAATTATACCTTATACATTTAGGGATAATTGTAATAATACTCCCTTTCAATATCAATTTTTCAATTAGATCCCTATTTTATCGAATAAAATTAATAATTTTTGTAAATATATTTATTTCAGATAAGATTGGGTCAGATTCAGATTTTATCTCATAAAGATGTGGTTGGATTTTGAGTCTGGTGGAATCACTGTAAACCCAAGTCGGGTCAGGTGTAAGGTGTATATATTTTGGGTCGAATCGGATTGATCGAAAACCCGACCTATGTCCATCCCTAGTTGTGTATACTCTTTCAGGAAAAATAAAACAATCTTATGTATAAATACTACAAATATTCATCATATTTTACTATAAGTCTTTCTTGGAAGTTATTGATCTTCAACTCCAAGAATTAAACAACATATTTTATGAGGTTAGTATATCTTTATTGAATTGTATGAATTCTTTGACTCTACTTGATATTTTTTTTCTTCTTTTGACAAATAAATAATACTTAGATTTACTAAATTATATCTTGATGAATTTACAAGTGTTGATAAACTTAGATTTTGGGTATTGAAGGATATGGGTAAATTTTTCATGAAACTAGTCAAGATAGAACTATCAAGTATGTCAATAAGTCTATTTGCTCATAAAATAGGTGTTGATTCTCTCTCTAACAATTGCAAATGTAGAAAGTATATATTCTAAAATGAACATTGTGAAGAATAGGTTGGAAAATAGTATATGTGACCAATTTCTAAATGATTATTTGGTTACTTACATAGAAAGAGATATTTTTCTTTAAATTAATGATGTAGAAATCATGAAACAATATCAAGGAATGAAAACTCGTCGAGAAAAATTACAATTATTTTTAGCATTAGTAATTCTTTTTTACTTTTTGAATGGATTATTATCTTAGATATTAAGTTATATAAAATTTTTAATAAATATTATAATATTTATTTTGAACTCTAATTTTAAATCTTTAGATCCGTCACTTATTACCATCTCGCACATATGAAGCGAAAGAGGTAGCCTTCGATTCTTATTAATGGCAACATCGATATAACATTTAAAAGAAATAAAAGCCTAGAACATGACTTTACCCATTTATTAGAACGCTGCACTTTCTTGTAGGTCGCTGCACCATTTGAATTTTATTAATTGTACTTTAATTTGAATTTTTATTATTTATACTCTAATTTTATTTTTTAATATTAATTAAAACTATTAAATTAGTCTTCAATTACGATTAATTTTATAATTAAAATTTTATATATTCTAATATATCATTAAATTCTTTGCAATGGTAATTATTATTTCTTGTGATTTTAATTCCTGACCTATAATGTAAAATTGTTATTAGTTATAATATTTATTAATGATATATAATTCAAGAAAAATGTATCACAAATAAATTACATAAACGAATTTAATAATATTTAATTATTAATGCAATTAATTCTTACATCACATGAGTAGAATATATATATATATATAAGCTTATTTTCCATCATAATTTATGATAATAAATTACTAAATGCAATATATATTCACTTACCATTTTAGTATTGTTAATAAATGAATGTTACATTGTTATTGGAACTATTTTTTAAATTAATCATTAATATTTGATTTATTGATCAAATAATTAAGATCAAATTTTACAAATGTTTATTATGGGAGTGATCCTCCCAACATAGTTTGCTTTATTCGTAAATGTTAGGGTTCAAACCTCTGACCTTATTTAAGGAATATAATGTCTCATCCCACTGGCGGAGCCATAGCTTGGAGAGGGTGGGCACGTGCCGACATTGAAATCCAAATTTTCTTCGATTAGTTACTTATTTTATTGATAGTGTCTACCCTGAAATTTTGTTTGAGCCCACTCCATTAAAAAAATTATGTTGTTAACATATGTGTCTACCCTTAAAATTATTTTTGGATTTGCCACTACTTGTTATTGAAAGTATTAGTTGTGTTATTCTCTTTATTTTTAATTGTATATTGGATTTTGGAGGCAATGAAAAGTCCTAGGATATTTTTCATTTGCTTTAACTATTTTGCAAGGTTAACTCCAAAAGTATAAAAACACGAATCTTTGTGTGGTTTGTCCCTCCAAATGTAAGGGCTTTTAGAGGTTGTAGGGGATGAACAAGTAACCCTTTGAATCATAAAGGGAAAATATGTAGGAGAGAATTGTGCTTCCCATACTAACCTTTTTAGGCAGGATCCCAAAAAATACATAGTCAAGATGTTGTCAATTTACAGGATAATTTAGTGGGTTTAACATGTCCTAATATAAACATAGTAATGGAAAGATCAATTGCCACATATTATCATATTATTTGTCAAAAATTTAATTACGCTGATTATACGGTTTATTTGTGACTCTCAGTGATCTAACCACAAAATTTATCCCATAAAATTTTCAAAAGAAAATGAATTTTACACCAAAATTTGAAGAAATTTTTTTTGTGGGATTAAGAAGAAAACAAATATTTGGTTCAATCACTCTTTTACATTTCCTTCATTGAAACAAGAAGGGAAGACAAACTTTGTAAGGTCCTTACAATTTATTTATTTACATAGTTCTCTGCATTTTTATATATTTATTCCATTTTTGTATGACAATTTTATTTCAGGGTAGTCATGATTTTCTTGGATAGAATCATAATAGGGCTCAAATTATCAACGTAAACGTAGCTTGTCGATCGATTGTAACGTACACAAAAGGTTGCACACAATGAGCAAAGAGCAAAGCGGTGTTCTAAAGGCATGGGAGGCCACCATGCGCAAAACACATGCCGCAAAGAAGCGTGCAAACAGCATTTTCGGGACGATAACGATGGCCAACGCAGCGGACGAAGATCTCGAGAACCATGGCGTATCCGGGGAGCCCTACTTAGTAGAGAAGATTCTACCCAACGGAGATTATTATACCGGGCAGTGGTTCGATAATGCCCCCGAGGGACAAGGGAAGTATCTATGGATCGATGGATGCATGTACTTAGGAGAGTGGCATAAAGGCAAAACTACAGGGAAAGGAAGGTTTAGTTGGCCATCTGGTGCTACTTATGAAGGGGAGTTCAAAAATGGATATATTAACGGGATTGGCATATATACTGGACCTAGTGGGGATACATACAAGGGGCAATGGGTTATGAACTTCAAACATGGTCATGGCATGAGGTTCTATCCGAATGGAGATTGGTACGACGGCGAATGGCGTCGAGGTTTGCAAGAAGGACTCGGGAAATACCAATGGCAAAACGATAGCCATTACATAGGTGAGTGGAAGAATGGTATGATTTGTGGCAATGGCACATTTGTGTGGGGCAATGCGAACAAATATGATGGCCATTGGGAAGAGGGTTTGCCCAAGGGAAATGGGTCTTATTATTGGCCTGATGGAAGTTATTACGTGGGGAATTGGAGTAACGATCCTGAAGAACACAATGGGATATATTACCCTTCGGAGTCATCCCCGGCTGCAACTACCGACTGGGATCCCCAGTCGGTGTATGCCGAGTTGGCTGATTGTAAATTTTGTCCTAGAGAGAATGTTTCGATTATGCCATCCCAGAAAGTGTTGGCATGGTATACGGCGAATACTGATGACAATCCGGTCGATGGAAAGGCAAGCGTCGGCATGGAAAGGCCAGATAAAATGCACATGTGGGAGAGTGATGATGATAGTAATGATTGTCCAGAACCCGGGAGAGAATCGGATTCTGAGATCTCGTGTATTCAACATCAACATGATGATACAAACCCTAAGTTTAACCCCGATCTATCATTGAAAGTGCCCAAAATGGGTAAAAAACCAGGAGAAACCATATCTAGAGGGCACAAGAACTATGAACTTATGCTCAACCTACAACTGGGAATCAGGTGCCATTCTCTATATTTCTAGTATTTTTTTCTATTTTTAACTTGTTTATATGGTAAATTATATGGTTTATGAGAGATTACACAGGCATTCAGTGGGAAGGCCTGCACCAGCAACATCTCTTGATCTAAAGGCTGCAGCATTTGACCCCAAGGAGAAAATTTGGACTAGGTTTCCTACAGAAGGCAGCAAGTACACTCCTCCACATCAATCTTGTGAATTTAAATGGAAGGATTATTGTCCAGTAGTTTTTAGGTATGTTGATCCATTTGATACATATATATACATTTCACGAGTACATGGTTTGCTAGTAACTGTAAATCATTATATGTATAAAGGGCTTTGAGGAAGTTGTTCAAGGTAGACCCTGCAGATTACATGATATCAATATGTGGGAACGGTGCACTTAGAGAACTATCTTCCCCTGGTAAAAGTGGTAGCTTTTTTTACTTGACAGAGGATGATCGATACATGATCAAGACCATGAAGAAGTCAGAAGCGAAAGTAAGTTTTGTACTTCCACACGCATTATATATAGTTTCAAATAGGGGTGTAAACGAGCCTAGTCGAGCTCGACTCGACTCGAAAACTCTGAAATGAAGCTCGACTCGACTCGAAAACTCGCGAGCTTAAAATTTTTAAGCTCGACTCGAACTCGAAATCCTAAACTGAAGCTCGTGAGCAGCTCGAAAAGGCTCGAAATGAAAAAAAAATCTTAAACTTAACAAGATTGAATCCTCAAACTCAAACCTGAATCTTAAATACATGAAAGCCTTATTGTATTTTTTAAAAAAAAATCAACACATAAATATTATTATTAATAATTTATTTTTAAAAAATAAATTCTTAATATATTATATTTTCGAGCTGCTCACGAGTTTTTTGAGTCGAGTATCAAGTAGCTCGTTTCGGCTCGTTAAGAATTCGAATCGAGCTCGAGTTCGAGTTGAGCTCGAGTTCGAGTCGAGTCCATTCGATCCGAGTATTTATCGAGCCTTGACCGAGTCAATCTCGAGTAGCTCGCGATCTGTCTCGTCTCATTTACAGCCCTAGTTTCAAATAGGGTTGTAAATGAGACAATATAAATTGCGAGTTATTCGAGTTCGATTCGGTCAAAATTCAAATTGAAGATTCAACTCGATCGAGTTCTTAAGGAGCCGAAGCGAGTTACTTGATTCCTGAATTGAAAAATTTAAGAATGTTTCGGGTTCAAGTTTTTCGAGCTTGAGTCATACTTTAAAATTTTAAGCTCGTGAGCTTTCGAGTTAATTTGAGCTTCAATTTTTTATTTCGAGTTTAAGTCGAGCTTGACAATTTTAAGAACATGAGCTTTCGAGTATATCTTAGCTTTAAATTTTTTGAGTCAAGTCGAACTCAGTAATACTCGAGCTCGACTTGACTGATTTACAACACTAGCTTCAAAGTAATTTTAAACTCCGCAATGCTGAAAAGGCAAACACCTATTCATATTTGATACACCTTAAAATAAGGATAGATCAGGGGTTGGTGGGAGGAATAGTCCCCTGAACTTTTAAAATTCTCCGATATTTTAAATTTTTTTTGTGTATTTCTATTAAAAATATATTTTCGCCCATAAAATTTTATAAGTTAATTTCTTAGCATAAAATTATGCATCCGTCTATGCTCCAAAATATCATGAGTATGCAACCAAAAAAAATCGATTCTCACCCAATATCTCGTCAGCTGCCATACAACCATATCCCCAAAACTGCCTATAGCAAACTACATGGAAACTCCTTAGAACCACCCCAACAATTATGTACTTCCACACTTATTATATATAGTTTCAATGTTGATTATTGCAAGCTTCATCATGTTAATAACTGGTCTTGATTTCTTTGTATAGGTGTTTATAAGGATGCTTTTTGCATATTATAACCATGTTCGAAACTTTGAGAACACACTGGTTATTAAATATTATGGCTTGCATTGCGTAAAATTAACAGGGCCGACTCAAAGAAAGGTGAGTGAATATCATTGTCATACAATCCAAATTATGTTGAGTGTTTTAAAGGATGCAATTGATAAATCCAAGCAGCGATGGACCTAGAGGGGGCGGGAGGTGGCGGTCGCTCCTCTAAAAGTTTCAAATTCATATATATTTTATTTATATTTTTTATTAAAAATATGATTTTGTCTCTCTAAAATTTTATAAATTCTCTCCTGCTTAAAATTTTATAAGTTTGAGCTAACATAAAATTTTGTGTCCGTATCTAAATTCAGGTACGATTCATTATTATGGGAAACCTTTTACGCTCCGAGTACACAATTCATAGACGCTTTGATTTGAAAGGATCTTCTCTCGGACGCATAACAGATAAGCCAGAGTCTGAGATCGACAGTACTACCATTCTTAAGGACCTTGATTTGAATTTCATTTTCAAACTAGAAAAATCATGGTTTGACGAGTTTTGCTGGTAAAATCCAGTTTCTTCCTCTTGTTTTCTTCTTAATTTTTTGGCATAATGTCAAAATTTGCCTCCAACGTTTATCAAAATGGTTATTTTATCCCTATTCTATTTCCTGGAACATTTTGATCCTAAACATTTCATTTTAGGATAAACAATCTCTAACATTTGAAAGAATAATCACTGTCCCTTATTCTTTTTGGCCATTTTAGCCCTCAATGTTTCATTTTAGGTTAAAAAAACTCTTATTTTGGAGCGTTAACTTATGATTTTCAATTACACAGGGAGCTTTTTATCTCAAAGTGAAACGTTGGGGGCTAAAATGCTCTAAAAAAAGAATAGGGGACAAAATGACCATTTTGGTAAACGTTAGGAGCTATTTTTGGCATTATGCCTAATTTCTTAGGGTAAAATACACATTTAGTATTTTAACTATCATTTTTGTTCTATTTTGGTCACCTAACTATTTTTTGTTTTAAAATCATATCTAACGTTATGTTTTGGTTTCATTTTAGTCACCCACTTTTTAAAAATTAACGGTGATGTTGATGTGTCACCATAAGGTAATACCACGTCATCATTGATTTTATTTAAAACTATCACGTCAATAGTTTTGTTTTTTTTTTCAACGACGTAGGATCAAAATGAAACCAAAACATAACGTTAGGTATGATTTAAAAAATAATAGTTGGAAGACCAAAACAGAACGAAAGTATAGTTAGGATACTAAATGTGTAGTCAGGGACGAAGCTATCTTTAAATTTTATGGTTTATTCAATTTTAAATACCTTATTTATTTCAAAGTTAAATAACTTACTCCCTCGTAGTTCAATCCTAACTCCTTCCCTGCATGTAGTTTACCCTAATTTTTTTCACTAGCTTCACCCTAATTCTTTTCACTAGCTTCATCCTAATTCATTGGCTTGAATCATTCTTCATCAACTGCATTGAATATTTCTATGTTTTGTACTAACAGGCAAATAGATAGGGATTGTGAGTTTCTTGAAACGGAGAGGACCATGGACTATAGTCTTCTGGTAGGCATTCACTTTAAAGAAATATCATCCAACGGAGAGTTAATCCCTCGCGGAAGCCAAACTTCATCTGGTTATCTTTTCTTTCTCATTTCATTTTCTTTCATTAAGGGGTCGTTTGAGAATGTTAATGGAATTGTTTTTGACTCAAAAAATCGTTTGAAATGCAAAAACAATCCTAAACACCTCATATTTATTTAAAAATTCATATTTCAAACAAGTTTATTAACTCAAACCAAAAAGTTGAAAAAACGATACTTTTACGTTGAAAAACCTCGTTTAAAGAAGCATTCTCAAACGAAACCAAAGTGCATGGTTTTCCACTCCAAGCATTTTCTTTGGATTCACAAGTTTCATTATTTTCCATTGCAGGAAATAATGCGAATGAATCAACTTCACCCGATACGGTGGAGCATATGCTAGACCCAAAGAGGTAAACTAGTCTTATATGTGTACCTAAAGTATTCATTTTTTCATCTATGTTCTAAAAAAAACTGACACATGACATTGTTTAAAATACTTTAAGTATTTAGATTAAAAAATTAAATACTTTAACTACTTATTTTGACGACAAAAAAAACTTTAGGTACTTAAAAGAAAAAATAGTATACTTTAATTATTTATTTATTATATAAACCTATTTTTTTCATAATACAATGCCTAAACGATCTAATTTGACATTTAAGCACGTTGGAACATAAATCCTTTTATATGTTAGAAACTTATAACAATAATCGGGGATGGACTGAAGAGGGGTGAGTGAGGGCTGATATTCTCCTAAAAAATTTAAAATATCATATACTTTAGATTTTTTTTATTTTCTATTAATAATTTGTTTTCTTCCTCCTAAAATTTTATAAGTTTATCCTTATCATAAAATTTTGCATATGTCGTCTCTCACAACAATAATGCAAACCAAGTTAAACTAAATAAATTATCCATGAGCATGCACGTGATTATAGCAAGCAAAAGGATCCCTTAATATGAAAGGCATAATGCAAAAATAAGCCCCAATATTTATAAAAAAATATCATTTTATCCCCTATTCTATTTTTTAGTATTTTGGCCCCTAACTTTTCATTTTAGGGTAAAAAGGACAATAACATTTGACAGAATAATCACTTTGTCTCTTATTATTTTCTAGGGCACTTTAGCCCTCAACGTTTGATTTTAAAAAAAGGCTCCAATTTTGGAGCGTTAATCATGTGTTAACCAATAGTTTCATTTATAGAGAGAGTTTTTTACCCCAAAATAAAATGTTGGGGAACAAAATGCTAAAAGAAGAATAGAAGTTGAAATGATCATTTTAGTTAACGTTAAAGACTATTTTTGGAATTATGCCAAGATGAAAATGAGTATATTAAGTACCAAATGTGATCGCCATTGCAAGTGGTCAGGGATGGACAGTGGAGGTGGGATGGTGCCCCTAAAAATTTTAAATTCTTATATATTTTAGATATATTTATGTATTTTCAATTACAAATCTAATTTCTCCCCCTTAAAACTTTATATGTCCGCATCTCCTTAAAATTTTATAAGTTCATCCCTAACATGAAATAATACATATGTCCATGCAGGTGGAGTGCCATAAAGTTGGGTACAAACATGCCAGCAAGAGTAGAAAGAACTATAAGAAAACCAGAGTCTGTATTTCATCTTGTAGGAGAACAAACAGGAGAGTGCTACGAGGTGATAATGTTCTTCGGCATCATCGACATACTTCAAGATTATGACATTACCAAGAGACTCGAGCATGCATATAAATCCATCCAGTACGACCCTACTTCCATATCAGCTGTGGATCCAAAGCAGTACTCGAAGCGATTCCGTGATTTCATATTCAAAGTCTTTTGTGAAGATATTTAAAAACAAGTTTTTGTAATGCTTTTAATCTTTTCTCTTTATGGGATATGCCCCAATTATTGCAATTTTTGTTGTAGCCATTATAATCAATACTTGTAACTAAATTCAGCACCAATTAATGGTGTTTGGATTATTTTTCCACCCTTCATTTACTTTATTGGATGCAATTAAGAGAGTGGCATGCATTTCTGAAGCTAGGATTAAACATCGACAAGGGCTAATTTTATGTACAATAAAAGAACAAGATTTAATGAAGTATTTAAACATAAAAATCGGGAGGGGTAATAGTCTTTTTTAAATAATATTTAAACTAAAAAGGTCCTAAAATGCTATTACACCAAATTTTTTTTGGGAAGGGCAATAACTAGGGGTGAACATTCGATCAAGTTGAGTTAAGTCGAGTAAAAAAATTTCGAGTTTTTCGAGTTGACGAGTCATATTTTATAACTCGAACTTAACTTAAAATTTTCAAGTCCAGTCAAGTTTAAGAAATTCAAATGGAGTTATTCGAGTTTCTGTACAAATTTTATTATAATTGTTTATAGTATTATGGTAAGGCTTGATTCCAATTTTTCGATTTTCTTTAACCATATATATATATATATATATATATATATATTCTTTTCACATTATAATGTTATTTAATATATCAAATACAATCTAAATTTATAAAATATAATTACAATGTTATATTTTAAAGAAGATAATTTGAGGGTAAATTGTTGATGAGAGTATAAAAGAGTCAAGGAATTGATGATAAAAAAGAAATTGCAAACAATGCAGTCAAAAGACCAAATTGAGTAAAATGCAAGGTTAATTGACTAAATAAAAAGAAAGTATATTTTCAGTAAAAAAAATAGGAATTGAAGTTACGTAGTTATTCTATAGTGGTATAGGAGCATGTGGTTCAAATTTAATAAAAAGATGGACTTCAAATGAAGGATGAATTGAAGAAATAAGGAAACCATGAAAAGTTGAGGGACTAAATTAGAAAAACTAAAAACTATTATTAAAAAAAGGAATTGAAAGCACATAGGTATTCTACGATTGTTTAGAAGCATGTGGTTTAAATTTGATAAAAAAATGGACATAAAATGAAGGAGGAATTGAAAGAAAATGAAATCAAGGACTAAATCGTAAAATTGTCAAAATAGTCAGCTGATTTTTTAGTTTTTCGAGTAACTCGAAATTTACAAATTTCAAATCGACTCAAACTCGAAAATCGAATTGATAATTTGAGTTGACTCGAATAACTTTAAATTAAAAAAAATCCATTTTTTAAGTGGAATTGAGTCTTGCTTACCCTAACAACATGCCCTCCCACCTTCTTAATAGCTCTGTCCCTCAACATGTAGAATACATAGTAGCACAAAAGTTTGGTTAAAGTTTATTACAAGTCTTTGTATTATATTAAAAAGTTTGTTTTAATCCTTCTATGATAAAATGAGAATTTTGGTCTATGTACATTTGAAAAAGTTAATATTTTGATTGAAAATATTGAAATTATAGTTCGTTGACTTAAATATTTTGGTTTAAACACTTTATATCCTTGTCACTTTTTAATTTGAACGAACTAATACCTTAAAAAAAAGAGTAATTTAATCTATGCGTTTTGAAAGTGAGTAAATAAAAACGAAATATAAGAAAATTGACTTTTTCCATTATATTTTTATTTTGTTGATACATCTGGAATAATTAGAAGACAATATATATTCAAAGACTCTCAACCAATTAACTATGAACGTTCATACCCCTGTCGGTGCTCAAACCTGTGACTCCTAGGGATAATAATGAGTCCCTTAATTACTAAAGTCAATTGGTTCGTGCCGACCTTTTTCATTAGAATGTGACAAATGTTCAATTATGATTGAATTTTTCAAAAAAAATGAAAATTAAAATTTTTATATAGTTTTAATTCAAATTTCAATATGATCAATGGAAATCAAAATTCTTAATTCAAAAATGAAATCAAAATTAACAATTTAAATCTAATCCTCATTATGTAGGCAACAAACATCTTGCCAAATACCACGCAATATAGACTTAATTAACCAATTCAAAAACATTTAGAATTTCATTGCTCAATCCTACTTCACTCCTAGATATCTCTAGGACTTGAAAACATCAGAAGCAAGTGTGAGTTCGAACAAATTCAGTGAATGCAAAACACAACTATAAATCATCGTCATCGTATAGATTAGTTAGGAACATTCAACCTTAGGATTGTAAATGAGACGAGACAAATCGTGAGCTACTCGAGATTGACTCGGTCAAAGCTCGATAAATACTCGACTCGAGTTCTTAACGAGCCGAAACGAACTACTTGATACTTGACTCGAAAAAAATAATATATTAAATTTTTATTTAAAAAAGAAATTATTAATTATATTAACATTTATGTGTTGATTCTTTTTTTAAAAATAAAGTATAAGATTTTCATGTACTTAAGGTTCAGGTTCGAGTTTGAGCTTTAATTGAGTGAAGTTTAAGATTGTTTTTTATTTCTGTAGACACTCGTTTTTGTCCGGGTCTACAAAAAACATTTTATTATATTATTATTTATTTATTATTATTATTACTTATTATTAATTAATTATTATTATTATATTTGTGCAGGCCAACACAATTCAGCAGCCCAACAAATTAAATCCAGCAGCACTTAACCCATTCAACTCCAACCCCACATATCTCAATCGTTCCTATTCGTGGGGAGTTGGTTGCGCCCTCACCTCACGTCTTTTGCTGAGGAGGGGGTCTTCTTTTTTGGAATATAAAAATGGGGGAAGCACATACAGTTGAGTAGGGGGGGAACAAAAGCAAAAAACTGGAAAGGGGAAGGTACTTGAGTAATGTGCTTTCTGCTCTCGCAGTGCCAATTCCTCCTGTCCTTGCAACATTTCAAACCTGTCCGGGAACTCATAGAGATCAGCTAAAAGATTTGTTAAAGTCTGATAATGTTGTTTCCACGCCTGAGATGCAGAAAGGTGAAATGACTCAAGAATCTAATCTGTCAAAGCTCAAACCTGAAGAACGTTGCTCCTCGAAACGGTGTTGGCAACAAAGGTGGCCATTGGAACCCACCAAGAGCGAGGACCTTTAAACCCAACACCGATTGTGGTGTGAATCCCATGACTATGAAGCTGTCCAGCGTTGGTGTGATCAGAGACGGCAGAGGAGACTGGATCGTTGGTTGCACCAGAAATATTGGCTGCTGCTCAATTTTACAAGCTAAATTCTTGCAGGTTCTTGATGGCCTCGAGGTTGCTTGGGAACGAGGCCTGTAGAAATTGATCGTGGAGGTGAATAGAGTCGAAATCGTTCGTTGCTTGGAGTCATCCCCTCGCTCTCATGAAACAACAATTGTCAGACGAATCCGAAGACTTATAAATCGGTAATGGATTATCAAATTCAGATACATGCATGCCATTTATTTGTTTTGCATTTAGAATTCGTTCGTTCCATCACTCTTTAATTGCTTTAATAAATACGTGGGCTCCACGTCTAGCCTTAGAGAAACAAGGTGAAGGAACAAACAACACGACTGATGAGATTGATTTTCTTTCATGTCACTTTCATACAGGCATCTAGTGATTGAAAATGGAAACCAATAACTTTCACAAAGTACTTAGTTTTTGGTTTTAAAAAAAATTTGATCATTACGCATTATAATAAATCATTAATCTTATTAACTAGGCTTCTTGTGAACTACGTTAGTGGCATTTGATTTCTTTTGGTCCTGCCAAAACAGCTCGACCATAGTAAATATTGTATATGGGCAGTAGCATTTCAAATCTAGTTTTGGAGTTCAATCTATACCATTTTGCTTTAAATTTGGAGCTGATGGCTCAAGTTAGAGCAGAAAAATTACAATATGTACGCCAATATGAAGAGATGAAATGAAATCCTTTTTCCATTGACTACTTTTTCATATTGGACATGCTTGGAATTCTAACTCTTTGGTTTTTTTGTTTTTTACTTTATTTATTTGATTTTTTTTACATATAGGATAATTTCAATCAATCAAAGGTGGGTAATTTGAATCGAATATTTTAAATTTCAATTTTAATTTTAATTTTCGCAATTAAAGATAACCGATAAATTAATTGGTACCGAAAGGGCGGTTCAAGGGTGCTAATCCTTCCTTGACCGTAACCGACTCCCGAACCCGACATGTTTCTGGTAAAATGCAGATCAGGTAAGATGGTGTCCGACCCACCTAAATTCGTTTTAAAGTGGTCTGTGGCGACTCCTAACCACATTTAATCCAAGTCGAAGCCCAATTCCGGGGCCCAACCGAAAGACGGTTCCGACAGCTTGGCGACTCCGCTGGGGACAGGTAAGTGAGTCAGGCCAGAATTAATTTTCGGTTGTCTTTTTGTGCGAAAATTGTAAATTTTAATTTATTTATTCGATTCCATTTATTTACCTTTGATTATCTTTCAAGTAAATAGTTGTACTGACATTTTTTTTCAATGATTTCAAATCTTTAAAAGTTTCCATCTCTGGCTCTATACCCGAGCTCCGAACCCTTTTAAGTGGGGGCGAAAGCGACACCTTCGTGTGAATTTATTCACCGTATGGGCCTAGCAAGTAACCTTCGGGATTCATATACCTTATGCCTTCGTGTGAATTTATTCTCCGTATGGGCATAAGAGAATGTTTCCTCTCGAGTTTAACTTAGTCCACATAAGCTTGTAATGGGCTTAGGACTAAGGGTCTGGTAAGCCCAAGGGGGCACCAGCAAGGATAACTCGGGTACCTCTTTAGAACCTAAACCGGGAGAGTGCAGGGAATTAGAGCCCACCCCAAAACCTCATTCCATACCCTAGGCTCCTTTTATTTCTTATTTTACTTTCTGTTCAAAGCATGTGAATTAGAAAAATATGCGGTTAGGATTTGTTTGAAATTAACATGCGGGATAGAGATCATGTCCGGGTAGGAATAATGTGGGGTAGATATCATGTGGGGTAGGACTTTTCATTTTTATCATTTTTTTATTATCATCATT